CTCTGGATGAGCTTAAGACACAAGACCCAACACTCTGGATGAGCTTAAGGCACAAGACCCAACACTCTGGATGAGCTTAAGACTGCTATCGAAGCATCCTGGGCCTCCATAACACCTCAGCAGTGCCACAGGCTGATTGCCTCCATGCCACGCCGCATTGAAGCAGTCATTTCTGCAAAAGGATTCCCCACCAAGTATTGAGGGCATAACTGAACAAAATTATTAGAAGGTTGACTTTTTTGTATTAAAAACACTTTTCTTTTATTTGTCGGATGAAAATGCTAATTTTTTGAGATAGGGATTTTAGGTTTTTCTTTACTTTTTTGCCAAAATCATCAATATTAAAACAAAAAGCTTGAACTAATTCAGTTGGTGTGCAATGAATCTAAAATATATATGAAAGTTTAAATGTTTATCAGTACATTACAGAAAATAATGAACTTTATCACAATATGCTAAATTTTTGAGTAGGACCTGCTTGTCACCTTCAGTTGTCATTAAAATACTGTGACTTCTCATTCATTTACATTTCTAAACACCTTGAAATTGGCCTCTGTCTCTTTAAGAACCTCCTTCCACTTCTGTCCCACCCATTTCAACACGTCATCACAGCCGCTTCTCTCTACAGGGCTCTGCTGTTTATAACCTGGAGTGTTGTAGCAGACTTTGTTGTAATGATAATTAAGAAGCATCAACATTATACAATATCTGTTTTGAAAAATTGCATCTCAGGATACATATGAACTTTATTGTTGGACCGGAAAGTATGTTTTTTTAAACAACCAGAGCAATTACAGAGACAACGTCTCAGCTGGTAAGATTATTTCAGTGATCACCACAGACACACATGTATTGATCATAGTATAAGTTACAAATCTTAACACATACTGTAGACCAAACAAGAATGTGAACAAAACAATGTGAGTTGCTTTTTATCTTACCTGCAGATGACAACGGTGTTTGTTTACTTACCCCTAATTTACACTACTTGCGGTCCGAGCTCTGCAGCAAATACAAACCCATTATAATCAATGGGCCTCATGCAAGAACATGTTCATATTTTTATCCTAAATTTCTCTTATTTTGTTCGTACAAAGGGTTCGTACAAACATGTCACGTCAGATTCAACAAACTCTTCTATCT